AGAAGGGATGCTCTAGGCACAAAAGGAATGTTTCTCTCCAAAACAGACTGGATTCTGTAATAATTTTTCATAGTTTTTAGACAGGAAAAGCCAGAGCTAGACTCATTTCTGACATTAGAAAATTATACTACATGCAATTGAAGTACTGTGATAAAATGTCATACATCCAGAAGTTTGGAGGAATGTATTGCAAGACCTGGGAACTATAAGCCAAAGTTACAGATAATCACAGTGCTGATGGATTGCCAGTAAAACTGTCAATGAGAAGGTTCCACTGCTCTGTAGTTTCCAGGGTCTCCTCTCAGCAGTAGTAATGGTAACAGCAATGACAGCAATAACAATGGGAACAGCAGCAAGAAGTGCACTAACATTAGTGATAGTAGCGTAAGTAGCAGCATTTTAGTGCCTTTTTGTGAGGCCAGTGCCAAATTTTATCTATCTGCCTGTCTCTCTGCCTGCTTATCTATCTAGATAGATTATCCATGATCCTTACCATTACATACCTTTCACTGATAAGGAAGCTGAGACTTGACAAGTTTAGGTAATTTAGTTGAGGCTACCCAGCTGGTTAGACACAAAACCAGAATTTAAACCTACGGCTGTCTTATTTCAAGGCTGAACTCCCTTCTCACCACCATACATCACAGCGGTGTGGATAGGTATTTTTCAGCATGGAGGGTTAAAAATAGAAGAGATGCACAGTAGCCTTCCGGAACTTGTTAAGGTCAGCAAACTGTTTCAATGGTTTAAACCCCTATCATCTCCCACCTGGATTAACACAAGAGTCTCCTGGCTGATCTCCTTGATTCTGCCCTTGATCCCTTGAAGCTTATTTTCAAGATAGCAGCTAGACTGATTCTGTTGAGACTGTATTTAAAGAGTTTTTTTCATTGAGGTGTAACACACTCTAATGAAAATCCACTAATGGCTTACTATTCCAGGATGAAAGCCAAATCCTTACAATTGCCTTTAAGGCCCTATATTAGATGGGTCCATATCACATCTCAGGCCCCATGTTGTACTACTCTCTCTGGCAGTACCAGCCCCCACCCCACGTTCTATTGTAGTGCCATCAGTCTTGTTGCTGTTCCGAGTCAGGCATGATCCCCCTTTAAAGCTCCTTTTTTCCCCCTTCCTCATCATTATGTTAGCTGTAGATTGTTATTAGCTTAGGTTAAGGAGTTTGATTTCACATTACTAGTTTTGGTACAAGATTTACATACCATAAAATTAACCATCTTAAGGTTAAAATTCAGTGGCATTTTGTCCATTCACAATGTTGTGTAACCACCATCTGTCTAGTTCCTAAATATTTTCATCACTGGGAAACAAAGAAAAACCCTGTACCTATTAAATGGTCACTCCCCATTCCTCCCTCCCCCCAGGCCCCGGCGATCACCAATCTGTTTTCTGTCTTTATGGATTTGCCTATTCTAGATATTACAAATAAATGAAATTACACAATGTGACCTTTTCTTAATTTTTTCACTTAACATCATGTTTTTGAGGTCCATCCACATTGTAGCATGTATCACTACTTCTTTAGTTCATATGGCTAAATAATATTCTATTGTATGGATATACTGCAATTTATTTATCTCTTCATCTATTAATGACATTTGGGCTGTTTCCACCTTTGGGCTGTTGTGAATAGTGCTGTTATGAACATGTACATACAAGTACCTGAGTCCCTGCTTTCAATTCTTTTGGATATGTACTTAGAAGTGGAATTGCTGGGTTATATGGTAATTCTATGTGTAACTTTCTGAGGAACAGCCAAACTGTTTCCTACAGTGGCTGAACCACATTACATTCCCACCAGCAATGTATGAGGATTCCAATTTCCCTTTCAGGGCTTTTGCATTTGCTATTCTCTCTCCAAAGGCTTTTCTGATAGACACTTAAGTAGCTCACTTCTTCACCTCCTTCAGGTATTTACTCAACTGTTATCTTCTCATGGAGGCCTACCCTGACCATCACATTTAAAATGGCAGCCTCCCAACCCCTACTCACTATCCTCCTTCCTTACTTATTTTTTCTCCATAGTGCTGATCATCATCTAACATACTATATAATTTTCTATTTTCTATTGTTTGTCTTCCACCACCGAAATGTAAGCTCAATGAGGGCAGAGATTTCAGTCTGTTTTCCCAGTACACAGAACAGTGTCAGGTACATAGTGAGTGCTCACTTAGTATTTGCTGAAGTGTTTTGGCAAAGTGTGACAATAAAAGAGCAAGAAACTAAGTCTCTGTACTTTAGAGGTTATTTTTCTAATAATGTTGATGGACTGAAACTGAGTCAATCACATCTTTTATTCAGCTGTAACCAAAAAGCACACATGCATGTGATGGCTATTTCTGAATCAGGTGAAAGCATTACCATTAATATATCCTGAAGGTAAAGGGGTAAGACTGTCAAACCAAAACTCTTAGCACCAATTAAAACCCAACTAATTGAATATAATAAGTAACTTTAGTACTGATTGTCTAAAATGTTTTATTTAAACAAGTAAAAATTATGCTACAGGACACAGAACTTTAAGTGTATTGTACTTTAGGAAAATGAATACATACTGTAAGAAATATAATCTTATAGAAGAACACAAAGCTGTATACCTACCTAAAATATTGCTAAAGCAAGAATGTGATTTATAATTTTGAACGATGACAGAAACAGATAAAAATATTCATATAAAAAGAGAACCCATGCCAAAACCACAAAGAAATTATTTCTGGGCAAAAGTTTAAAACTTGGTGTAACTAATGCTGCTCAATTGTTCACTTGACAATGGTTAAAATGGCAAATTTTATGTTATATATTTTTACCACAACTTTTGAAAAGAAAAAAAGGGTAGAAATATGGTGGATGAAAAAACATCCTAGAGACAGATATGGAAATAAAACAGTAGAGTATCACCAAACCCATTACTAAGAGAGAAGCCACTTTTGAAGATTTTTGAAAATCATTTATGTCACAAATCAGTCTGGAAAATTTAAACTAAACAGATTTAACTCTTTTGACTATGAATTGCAAAGATTAGACTATATAACAAATGGTCATTAAAACTGGTTTTCAATATGTTTCTGTTATAGGCTGAATAGTTGTGTCCCTCCTTCACCAATTTATACATTGAAACCCAACCCCCATTGTAATGGTATTTGGAGATGGAGCTTTTGGGAGGTGATTATGTCATGAGAGTGGAGTGCCCATGAATGGGATTAGTGCCCTTGTAAAACAGACCCCAGAGAACTCTCTTAATACTTCCACCATGTGAGGACACAGTAAGAAGATGACCATCTATGAACCAGAAAGCAGGTTCTCACTAGATACTGAATCTACCAGTACCTTGATCATAGACTTCTCAGCCTTTAGAACTGTGAGAAATACATTTCTATTATATATAAGCTACCAGTCTATGGTATTCTGTTATAGCAGTCCAAATGGACTAAGACAGTTTCATAGTTAAGGGTTCTGATGTTAAGAGAAAAACCACTCATGATTGAATCAAACAACTTCAGAGCCTGCCCACCTTCATGGTTATTAAAATCACAAAGGAACTCTCATCAGCCTTTCGAGTTCAAGAAATTAAAGAACTACACACAGTGAGCTTTTAACTGTGCTGGAGGGAAAACATTAATACGCACTCAGTAGATAAAGCTCTCAGTCTGTAGGCTAAGTAATCAGGCTTCCATGTAAGAAGCAAAACAATGTTCCTAACTGTATGATGAAATCTACAGCCTTTATGTAATGTTATTTGTTAGAAAATAATTTCTGAGGCATTTTCACAATACAAATTTTATTAAAAAAATAAGTAATAACATCAAAACTGTTCAGCAAATCTATACTCAATGTAACCAAAATAAACACACACCAAATTAAAAAATATATACATCTATGTATATATGTGTGTGTATGTATACACACACACACACACACACATATATATATATGCAAGAAACAAGTGCATTTTTGGTCCCAATATTTTTGAATATATTATCTTTTATCCAAAGGAATTACATTAATGGCCTAGAAGATATTATGCATTACATGTACAGAAATGTAACTTTAAAATTTGTTTTAAGGTCTACAGAAAGTGTTTTTTGCTAATTCTTTATGTCTTCGAACTCACACTCACTAAAATAATGTTAATAATAGTCCTACAATGGACAGAGGATGTAATAACTTCTAATGGTCTTGAACAATGTCTGAACAATTACCAAATTAAGAAGATACCAACAGGTAGCTACATGAAATCTGTAGAGAAGTCTAAGGAATTTTTTGAAGTTCTGAACAAAAAACAAACGCAAAAAAAATCTTAAAGAAAAGAGATAAAAGTGGACAGAACAGGATAGACCTCAATAAATTTGTTGAAGAACAACATAAAACCAAGATAAAATAAAATGAAATAAAAGTCCTGGCTGGTATGGCCCAGTAGATTTAGTGTCAGCCTATGAACCAAAAAGTTGCTGGTTCGATTCCCAGTCAGGGCACATGCCTAGGTTGCAGGCCAGGTCCCCAGTTGGGGACATGTGAGGGGCAACCACACACTGATGTTTCTCTCCCTTTCTCCCTCCCTCTCCTCTCTCTTAAAAAATAAATAGTAAAATCTTTTAAAAAATTAAAACAAAATATTAGTATTGCCCAAAACTCTTAGGGTTAACACTGGATAAAACTTTAAATGGCAGTACTAATCACTGTAGATTTGGGCCTGTAATTTTAGAAAGCTGTTTTCCAAGAGCATGAAAGTAACCTTGGTTTCCTACAGAGCCAGTTTTTATAGCCCTTGGACTGCCTACATGCTAGGAGAAGACTAAAGGGCAGCAGCCAAAATGATTAAACTTCAACTTGGGTGTTAAAGCACTGATTTGATGGGCTTTTCTTGGTCAGAACTGACCCATGAGCTTAAGATAGAAAACCAAAGCCCCAAGTGGGAAGTTGTGTTCAATTTGGTGGTCATCTCTGGCCAAACTATCATCATCCAGCATGAAGGCAGGGACTCTTCCCAGGACCTGATTTCCTAGGGCTACAAACTAGAGGATGTCTCACAGTTAAACAATTCATATTTCTTGGAAAGAGAGAACAGGCATCAGTTGTGTCCAACGAAGGGGGACACTGACCAGGAGTACCCTGGACATTTTTGAAATTTCTGTGTTGCTTCTGCATCTGAAAAATATGAAAAATAGAACAATGACAGACAAAGAACGAGAAGACAGCTATCTGACCTAAAAATGTAAGATTTATAAGAAATTAACTAAGAAATCAGACAGACAAAAAAAGATGAACAGCCATATCATTTAAAATGCAACATTCTGAAGGCAAGTACAGCAGAGAAAACACAAATTATTTTTAGCAAAGCAAGAAAGACCACAACAAACAAAAATTTTTGGAGAGAGCCAACTGGAGAAAAAAAAAAAAAGCATATGTTAAGATATGTTAACCTGACACAAAGATAAGGTGGAATAAGAATCTAGTGCCATCTGAAAGCTGAAAAAGAGCTGAATAATGAGAGCTAGTGTCATGAACTTGGCTGTTTAACCATTTTTGTGTGAGAAAACACTTCAGAACTTTGAACTTAGGGAACTGGTTCTGTGTAAAAAAACACTTCAGAACTTTGAACTTAGGAAATTCCAACTTGTCTTGCACCAGGTTGCACGAGCTCCATAGAGCAGGAATCTATTTCAACAAGCAGCTTTAAAAACAAAAACAAAAACAAAATACTTTAATATTTGTCATTTCTATTAATGATACATTAAAAATATGCAACAGTGTTAAAAATCCATCAAAGAAAAGTACACTGAATGGAAATTCAACTTACTCAGAAGTGGGTTCAGAAGTTGAGGTACTTTTGGGAACTGAAATTAGAAGCGTTTAACACTTAAAATAGCGTATATGATCAGTGAGACTATCAATTTAATACAATTAAGACCCCATATTGTGGTTGATCAAAAATACAGGAATAATTATCAGAAATCCAAAGCAATGCAATTATATATACGTACCATTCTCTGTTACAACTTGGCAAGTATGAGTTTTACGTTGACTTAAGTGTTTGGCCATACGATCTAAACTAGAAGAATCAGTTAGGAAATCACATTTAAGGCACACTAGAGTAATGCCCCTATGAAAAAAAAGAGAGAAAGAAAAGATTTTTATCTTTTATGAAAAGCTTTTCATAATTCACAGGTTCAATAATTATTTTTCTATGTAATAACTCTTTTTTTTAATTTATGTTTACAGAGAGGGAAAGGAAGGGATAAAGAGAGGGAAACATCGATGTATGAGAAAAACATCGATCGGTTGTCCCTTGCACGCCCCAGCCGGGGACCTGGCCCACAACCCAGGTATGTGCCCTGACTGGGAACTGAACCAGGGACCTTTCAGTTCGCAGGCCAGGGCTCAATGCACTGAGCCACACCAGCCAAGGGCAATAACTCTTTAAAATCAGCATTTAAAAATATTTTTATTTATTTACTTTTAGGGGGGGAGGGAGGGAGAAAGAGGAGAAGAGAAACATCGATCAACTGCCTCTTGCATGCATCTTGACCAGGGACAGAACCCACAACTCAGGCATGTGTCCTGACTGGGAATCGAACTGGCGACCCCACGTCATGCAGGATGATACCCAACCAGCTGAACCATACCAGTCAGGGCTCCATGTAATAACTCTTAGGATTTGCTTTTTATGCATCATCACCATCACTTTTCAATTTTGTTATATAAACAAAAATTTTGTTCACTGATTTTGAAAATGTTCACAGAGTTGTGCCACCATCACAACAATCTAAGTTTAGGATATTCTCATTACCTGAAAAGGAAACTGTATACGCCATGACCCAAATAAGCAGTCACTTGTCCCTGCCTTTCTTAACCCCCAACCACCAGCCCATGACAATCACTGATCTTTTTGTTTCTGTAGATTTGCCTATTCTGGACATTTCATATAAATTGAAATGTATAACGTGGTATTTTGTGACTTGTTTCTTTCATTGATAGGTTCATTGAAATTCTGTTTTCTCTACAGGATTTACTCCTCTGTTAAAACTGTTTTGCATGTGTGTGTTCATTATTAAATATAGACTACTTTTACCACTAATAAAGTGTGTGTGCGTGTGTGCGCGTGCGCACACGCGTGTATGGAAATGTTCTGATTTAGAAAAGGCTATGGTTACTATGATCCAAATTTTAAAAATTCAAATATAGTATATAGCATTAAAAATGATCTACATAAAACTGAAGTCATGTGCCTTCCTCCCCACCCCTGGAAATCACTCCTCCTGAATGGTCTCTCTTATGATGTCACGTCCCCAACAACAAAACCCCTCCTCAAAACTGTAGTTATCTGACTCTTTTTTTCCTTAAAACTGTCAATATTTCACACATTTTATAATATTAACAATTTATTGGGCACGTACTGTGTCAAATGGAAAATTTAACATATCAAAATCTTAGAGAAACCCAAATAAGTACGTGCTATGATTTTAACTTTTTAAAATAGAGGACAGGGTCAGATTTGGTAACTTACCAAAGCCAGGACCAGGTTTGAAACTCAGCCATTTGATTCCAGAGCCTATATTCTTAAACATGATGTAATATCACCTCACCACCTTAACCCAGGTTATTAAATCAGTCTTAACTAGTTTATGTGCCTTATATAGCTACAACTCACTTTTATACCCTTCCAAACTGATCTTTCTTCAGTATTCTCGATTCTGCATAAAACACCAATGGTTTCCCCAGTGTCCTCAAATTAAAATTAAGTCCAAATTCCCTAGCCTTTTTCAAAGATTCCACAATCTGGATATAAGCTAAAAACTATCCCCCCAGACTTTGATCTTAATACTATTTATATAAACTTCATGCTCCATCTAAATTTTACTATTACTTCTGCTTTTTTCCTTTCTGCATTTTTATTTGTGCTATTTCTTCTAACTAGAATGCCTTTGTGCCTCTTCATATAAGTAGAAACCTCTTCTCCTTTTGACATCATTAACTCTCACAGCACTCATTACAAACCTCCTTGTATTACTGAGTTACTTAGTGGATTCTGAGCTAAGTGTGTGGTATAACCAAAGTTAATCATCAGTACTTTAGAAATGTTCACCAACAATTCCTTCTGCACAATAAACAAGTTATGCACTTTTCTTTATATCAAAAAGAAAAAACTTACAAATTATTAAGCTATGCATTGATTAAAAAAGTGTTATTTACTTTATTAGGAATCTTAAATGTCTTTAATATTCAGATATTGTTGGAAAGCCTTATTTTCTTATTGCAAAACCATGAAAGTTTCATCTTAATAACTAACCCCACTGAAACATAGTTTAGCCAGAGACTATATCCCTTCTTTGATCTAAGGATATAATGAACAGAATTCTTTATGTCCAGTAGCAATCATTTCATTTTCCAAACTAGGCACTCCAGCATCAGGTTATAAGAGGTTACTACAGGCCTGACTGGTGTGACTCAGTAGGTTGGGCATCATCCCTCATCCCATAAAGCAAAAGGTTGCTGCTTCAGTTCCCGGCCAGGGCACACGCCTAGGTTGCAGGTTCGATCCCCATAGGGGTGTGTACTAGAGGCAACCAATCATTTCTCTCTCACATCGATGTTTCTTTTTTATTTCAAAGATGGATTTAAAAAAAAATAAACATTTTTATTGTATTTTTTTCATTACCATTTGTTCCCCTTATACCCTCTTCCAACTCTACCCCCACAATCACCAACACTGATGTATCTTTCCCACTCTTTATCCCTCCATTCCCCCTCTCTAAAAAAAAAAAAAATACAAGTTAAAAAGTAGGTAGTATAATTTTTCAATAGAATGAAAAAAAGATCAACTAGTTACCTGAGAGTTCTACAATGCTTCTTGAAAATAGAAAACTGTTTACTTGGATGGCTGCCATGAGAGCTGGAGAGATAAAAGACACATGAGATTTTATTATACAAGAAGCTGTATTAATTTTATGGCCATTTTTCAAGTCTGTGTTTAGTTTATTAGTTTTGAATAAAAGAACTTGGTCTAAATTTTAAAATTCTATGGGTCATCTCTGTTTACTTCAAAGTTTTTAGCTTACACTTTACTGTACCTGTGTATTTTTTAACACAGTCCCTGAGAATATTCTTAAATGATCAGTACCTCAATACTGTATATTAAAGAATCTCATAGTTAGAGGACTTCTGGCCAAGATAGAGGCATAGGTAGATAAACTATGCCTCTTCGCATAACAAAAAGGACAACAAATTTAAAAACAAAATAACTAGAACTGCCAGAAAATCGAATTGCATGGAAATCCGACAACAAAGGAGTTAAAGAAGAAACATTCATCCAGATCAGTAGGAGGGGCCGAGATAGGCAGCTGGGGCAGAGAGGACCTGGCAAGGCAAGAGCTGGAGGATTGGGTGGGCAAGATGGCAGCTGGTGGTTGCATGCAGATAAACTGGAACAGCTGGGAAGCGAGACAGACCGAGCAATCTAGGGTTCCAGTGAAGGAATAGAAAGCCTCAAAACCTCTGGCTATAAAAACCTGTGGGGGTTGTGGCAGTGGGAGAAACTCTCAGCCTTATAGGAGAGTTCGCTGGAGAGACCCACAGGGCCCTAGAACGTACACGATCCCACTCACCGAGGAATCAGCCCTAGAAGGGCCCAATTTGCTTGTGGGTAGCAGGGGAAATGACTGAAAGCCTGCTGAGAGCCAAGCAGGTGGCCCTGTTTCTTCTCGGACACCTCCTCCATATACAGTGTCACTACAGAGCTACATGAATTGCCCTGCCCTAGCGAATACCTAAGGTTCTGCCCCTTCCAACATAACAGGTGTGCTGAGACAAAGAAATGTGGAGCAAATGAAAGAACAGATCAAAGCTTCAAAAATAGAACTAAGCCATGAAGAGACAGCCAACCTATCAGGTGCACAGTTCAAAACACTGGCAATCAGCATGCTTACAGAAATGGTTGAGGTATGGTCACAAAATGGAGGAAAAAGTGAAGGCTATGCAAAGTGAAATTAAAAAAAATATATATATAAAGGAAACCAACAGTAAAGGGGAGGAAACCAGGACTCAAATCAATGATTGGGAGCAGAAGGAAGACAAAAACATTCAATCAGAACAGAATGAAGACACAAGAATTCAAAAAAATGAGGAGAGGCTGAGGGACCTCTAGGGCAACTTTAAATGATCCAACATCTAAATCATAGGGGTGCCAAATGAAGAGGAAGAGGAATTATTGAACAAATAATGAAGGAGAACTTCCCCAATCTGGCCAAGGAAATAGACTTCCAGGAGATCCAGGAAGCTCAGAGAGTCCCAAGGGAGCACACACCAAGGCACATCATAATTAAGTTATACAAGATTTAAAGATAAGGAGAGAATCTTAAAAGCAGCAAGAGAAAAGGAGACAGTTACCTACAAAGGAGTTCCCATAAGACTATAAGCTGATTTCTCAATCAAAAGAAACTCTTCAGGCAAGAAGGGGCTGGCAAGAAGTATTCCAGGTCATGCAAGACAAGGAACCTACATCCAAAAGTACTCTATCCAGCAAAGCTTTCATTTAGAATGGAAGGGCAGATAAAGTGCTTCCCAGATAAGGTAAAGTTAAAGGAGTTCATCATCACCAAGCCCTTATTATATGAAATGTTAGAGATTTATCTAAGATAAAGAAAAAGATCAAAACTATGAACAGTAAAACGACAACAAACTGACAGTTACCAACAACTGAACCTTAAAAACAAACTAAGCAAATAACTATAACGGGAACAGAATCACAGAAATGGAGATCAGAGGGGAAGGGGAAGGGGTGAACGGGGGAAAAAGTACAGGGAATAAGAAGCATAATTGGTAGGTACAAAAAAGACAGGAGGAGGTTTAGAATAGCATGGAATTGGAGAAGCCAAAGAACTTATATGTAGGACCCATGGACATGGACTAAGGCGGGGGGGAGGATACTGGTGGGAGGGGGAATACAGGTGGAGGGGAATAAAGGGGAGAAAAATATGGGACAACTGTAATAGCGTAATCAATAAAACATGTATTTTTAAAGAATATCATAGTTAAAAAGGCAAAGACCATGAAATGGAAATTTTCAACTATTAAGAGTTGAAATCAATCTAAAAGATATTTGCTAATAATGTATTTTTTACAACATAAATAGTTATGAATAATAATGATCACTTTCTAATCTTAATATACTTAGTCAGAAGGGACAACCTGAAAGATTCTCAAAGTAAATGCTACCTGGGCTAAGTGACATCAGTTAAAGCTAAACATTTAAAGCATCTTTTGCAATTACTAGGAGAGCTTTTAAGGAAAGTGAATTAAGGGAAGCAGAGTTCAGGAGTCCAAACAATAATTCCTATACACACAGAACAGAAAACCACTAAGCAAGTTTTGCAGCCAATGGTAGTAGCTTTTATATTCTCTTTTAAACTGATAAGGAAAGCATTCCTGTATTAGAAAGCCAGGTAGGATTAGCTAGGATTGGCAGAGCACAGTAGTATTACTGAAAGTGTGGTCCATGGACTAACAGGGTCTGCATCATCTAGGAGCTTATTAGAAATACAAAGCCTTAGGTTCCACTCCAGACCTACTGAATTTATCTCTGCCAGTAGGGCCCAGAAATCAGTTTTCAGGTGATTATTATGTAAGATAAATTTTGAGAAGGACTAGCCCTAGTTTGCACTGACAGACCCATGCCACCAACACACCAGTCATTGGTAACCCTTAGACACAAGGTAACTACCACTAGCATGTCATATATACATGGGAAAAGAAAGATTCTGGCTAGGTATAATCCCAAGAAAATACTCCCAGAGTAGGTGCCATGGTGAATACAGAGAACAGTTCTGTCAAGTAGATAAGACAAACACATATTCAATGTGAGGTAAAATAGCTGAATGGTACAAAACCCCAAAAAGGAGTCATTCCTGTGAGTGGCTGTGGCAATCAGATACTTCATGGAAAAAGGGAAATTGAGAGGGAAGGAGAGGGGCATTCCAGAGTAACAAAATATAAGAAAAAGCCACTTTAGGAATTAAATATATAGCAAACTATATTTTGGGGAAGTTTAATTTGGGGGACCCAACTTCTGGTTAGAGTTGGTAGGGGCCGGGACTAAATGCGCTCAAACTGTGAGAAAATAAAAGCTTCTGTATGTACAGAGCTTTTTGTCAAAAGTATGACAAAAGTCCACAGTGGGTTGGAGTGAGGGTGTACATTCAGGGCAGGATACGTGAGGCAACATGGGAAGCAAGGCACCACAGAAGGAGGGGAAGTGCAAAGAGATCTACAAGGCTCTTAAAAGAGTAGGAGTCAGTTCTCCATGGGCCTAACGATGAGTATGAGTAAGCGTTCAGCATGTGATGACAAATAAGGCTTGGGGCTCACTGGAAATTAGGAAAAGGTTATGAAGGAAGCCTGGGGTCTACTGGGAATATTTTGGGATAGAATGGGGTTTGAGGTCCTAGGAGATGGTTGAGGACCCTATAGAAAATTGGAAAGGGGAGGACAGAATAAGCCATATGTAGTTTTAAGAAACTCCAAAAATATTTTTCAATTTAATTTTATATTAAGTTAGGGGCAGAATTAAAGCCCTGTTGGGGCATCCATATATTTGGCACAGAATAAGAAACCGGCATTTTTACAACAGTACACTGCGAGGTTAGCTGGGGCCTTGTTTAGAGCAACCAAAATATGGGTGTAGAAGCACTGTAGTAACTGGGAGGCAGAGTGTTAAATTGCAGAAGGTGGACTCCTAGAAAGCCATGAAGAATGATGGTAGATCAAGAGACCTTCACAGGCCTCAGAAACTTAAAGCATATATTATTTCTAGCTGATGCTCTACATTTATGCACATAATGCCTTAAGACAGACAGAACTTAAAGGGTATTGGGTGATAATAGTTTGGATCCTAGACAGATAATAATGTGACGTATTTGTGTTCTTTATAGATACCATTGAATATCTATAGGTGAAAATATTTATCAAATAGTTTAGATGAAGAGTTGGATCTTAGGAAAACTCAACACTGAAAATGGAAGACTTTCAGTTGAAAGGTAAAAGATAAAAATCTGAGAGTGGTTAAGATACCAAGAAAAGAAATGTAGAAAGGCCAAAGAATTGAAGAAAGAAAAGGTAATGAAATAGAAGAGTAGCCAAAAAGGGAGTTAAAAAAAAAAAAGGAGTGGTAACAGTTTGAAAAGTTGAAGAGTTTCAAAAGTGAGTAATCAAAACTATCAAATACTCTAAAGAAGTCACAGAGGAAAAAGAATGAAAAATAGTGAGTATATTTAATAATTAGGACATGACTGATAACTGTTAAAGAAGCAGCTTTAGGTATAGGTGGGGGTGATACTCAGACTACAAAGGGTAAAGAAATGACAAATAGGATAGTTAAGGATACTCTTTTAAAAATGTCAAGAAAAGCAAGAAAATATGCAAAGTAAAAGTAATTCTCCTTTATGTTAAAAGACAAACAAACAAAAAACTCCAACCCCTGAAAATATTTGTAGGCAGAATGAATGGTAAAGACAAAGAGATGAAATGAAGGTGCAAAATAACTGAATAAGGCTATAGAGGAAATGGAGGAGATCAAAGGCAGGGTTAACTTTGAAAAAGTGAGACATGTTTTTCTAAGATTAATGTCTGCATGAAGGAAAAAAAAATGAGGTAAGAAAAATTAATCTTGGAAAAAATGAAAGGGATGCCCTCTGAGCAAGTAGAAAAGGATAACAACTTAGAGACTAGAATAAAATCTTGAGGGTATTTAAAAGGATTTAAACAAATCTTGTAAATTAAAAAAAAAAGGTATTTTAAAAGACAGGGCCAAATTAAAGTGGATCATGAATTAAGAGCTGAATGAATCAAGCACAGCTTTGTAGTCTAGAACTGAACAGTAAAGACAGATAAAAAAGGATA